TTGTCGAATGCATTGATAGAGAATAGAAATTGAAAACTTTATCCTAACTGATTGATGATTTTATTGATTTATAAATGATATTGACAATTGCTTAATGGAATATAAATAGAACAATATTATGATTTTTGGTAGAAGACCTGAAGAGTAGCTTTCGACTCCTTGAGTCCTATGTAAGCACGGTTTGGCCTTATAACTTTTGATTGAAATTAATAATAAATGATGAGTAGTATAAAATATAAATGTATGATTTTATAATTTATATGGGATGGTTATAAATGAAGTGTATCAATGATGATCCATAACCCTACACTTTTAATAAAAGGGTTAGCGAGTATGGGTCGTTAACGGGTAAACAAATCAAAAAATATGCTCAAAACCCATGTAATTAATATAGGTTTGGATTGGATCAGGGACAAAACTCGCTCCATTGCCAGTCCTAGGCTCATATCCCCATGCTTCAACCTTCTACTTTTCTTTAGTTCCTGCAAATCCGAGCAAATGTGAGTACGATGTCTAACATCAAGAACCCAATAACTAGAAGTTCACATTTTATGAACATCAATCGTAAAAGATACCTAAAGTGCCAATACCCTTATATTTGTTTTTCTTCATATCTTATAGGTACTTTTGGAAGCTACATCTCTAGCGACATTTTTTGGCAGTAATAACAAACAGCCTCTTTGGGATTAGTATTGGAAGCTATATCAGAATCGGACTTTCTCTTAAGGAATTGATTGGATGATCCAACCTTAGCATTTACCTTTACCTTGCAATGAGAAGGCTTCTTCTAGTTGTTAGCACTAACTTGGCCAATGGCCAAGACATAAGTAGGAGCAATGGTACCTTTGGTCTTAAGCATGCTAGCTTTGACAGTTTTCAACATGCTATGAAGTTCCATTAGGTTCTAGTCGAGATTGTTCATATTATAGTTCATGATAAACTGATGATACAAAGCAGACATCTAGTTAAGGACCATATTAATAGACAATTTTTTGGAAACTTGACTCTCAAGCTCCCCATTCAGTCAATATACGACTTCATTTTCTGAATATGAGTACACACGGAAATAACATCTTGATGTTTACAAGCCATCAAGGATTTCATGATCTCGAACCTTTCTTGCCTAGCCTATTCTTGGAACATTTCTTTAAGCTGCTCATTCATGTCGATGGTTTTGGGAGAAGAAATAAGATACTAGCGTTTTTGTAACACCCATAAAAATCATGCCAATTTAAAACTTTTTAAAATATTTAAAAGCCAATAGTTATTAAAAATTGTTTCCAAAATGGTTCCATGTCAGAGTACCCCAGAAATAAAATCATAATAACATAAGGAGGTGCACGATCACACCTTCGCCTTCCCGCGATCATCTGAGGTACCTGGAGCAAAATCAACAACTGTAAGCCCGAAGCTTAGTGAGTTCTCCCAAAATACCCGCATAACAAATAACACACATATAATAACAGCATACTATGGGCCCAATCAACCATCGGGTTGGAATACCCCAGCCCCTCAACCATCGGTTTGGAATGCCAACATACTATAGGTCCAATCATCCTCGGGATGGAATACCCTTCGCCGACAACCATCAGGTTGGAATGCCATGGTCTGTTGGATCTCGCACAAAGCAGTAAGCCTCAACCACCAATCAATCATGTGCACATATATCATATAATCACATAACAGTCTACAGACAGTCAACTGATCTACAGATCAGTAAGCATAGCAACATCCTATCTACCAGGATACCGACCTCACAGATCATAACCACATAGAACATCCTATCTACTAGGATACCGATCTAACATATCATAACAGGATAACAATCCAAAGGGTCGACCTTGGTTCCTTAGACCCTTGAGTATAGTGAGGAAAACTCACCTCACGAGTAGCTCTGGATGATAATGTCAAACTCCCCAAATACAGCTCCAACTCAAACACCTACAATTAGCATGGGATCAATTCTATAAAACCCAAATTACTGAAATACCCTTGAAGTCAAACTTGGTCAACCCTGGTCAAAGTCAACAGTCAACAGTCAAGGTCAACAATCCTTGTTGACCCAACTCGATGAGTGCATCTAGCAACTCATCGAGTTCCTTCAGAACTCAAAGACCGGAAACTCGAGTCAACTCGCCGAGTTTCCACCCAACTCGTCGAGTTCATGCAGTGACCAAAAGACGGGAAAACCCTAACCAACTCGTCGAGTTATAACATTAACTCGCTGAGTTCATGCATAATCCAGAAAGCGGGAAACCCTCATTCAACTCGTCGAGTTGACTATGCAACTCATCGAGTTCCTTCAGTCCTTTTCTCATTCAGACCCTTTTATGAGAAACCAAATCTCCAAACTGTAGATCTAGCCCCTTAGGGTATAGTTACCACGTAAAGTGCTAAATTTATATGCATCCAAGGCTCCAAGAATCTAAAACACTCATAACTAGCCTTAGGAAGAGGTTTTGGACATGGAGGAGGGCCAAAGCTTCATAAAGCATGAGGCTTTATGTCCATAAGGGCCTAGAGGAGTCCAGATCTGAAACCTTGCCCTTGTGACAAGCTCAAATCCGGAAGTGACTCCATTTTGCACTAGAAGTGACAATTTTCTAACATAAGAAGGGATCCTAGAAAAGGAAAGCCAAGGTAAGGACTTTTTACCTTCAACTGGATGCCAACATGATGTAGATATTGGATCTACAAGCTTCTCCTCGTTCCAAGCCTCTAAATCTCCAAGCCTCTTCAAGAAATGCACCAAACACACACTTTTAGCCTCACAAAAACTCAAAATAGGGTTAGATCGATTAGGGTTCGCTTCTGGACGTCAAAAGGTGGTAAGGTGGCTGGAAGGAGGACTTAAGGTCCTTTAAATAAGGTGCAAACCCTAAAAATTAGGGTTTTCATGCACAACCTCTACTCGTCGAGTTGGGGTCCTTCAACTTGTCGAGTAGGGTCTAGAATCCAAGCGGCTTTAACCTTCTCTACACGACTAGTTGGGGCATCCAACTCGTCGAGTAGGTCTAAGAACATAAATATATATAGCTTTAAAATTTATACCTTGGAGTCAGGATGTTACAGTTTGATCCCTAGTAGTTTATTTATAGGCATCAGATAAATCCTTAAAGGATTCAAACTCATTGGATAATCTTTACCTTATTCAAAACCCGCCTTATCCTTAGACTAAAGGGTGTCGTTGTCCATTTTCTGGTGGAAAATCGATGTCGCTTGTTTTATCGCCGATGAACACCGGCGCAGGACCCATTTTTTGTCAGCGGTGTATTGCCATCGATTAGTTTCTACATGGGAAAAAAATTGATCGTTACAACCTATATAGTCGTTGGCTATATGACCGTTGGGGGTAATTTGCATTTTTACCCGAAAAAAAACTCTATAAATACACATACACACATATATCACCTCTTTAATCCACACCAAACACAACCATTTTACTCTTTAAACTTCAAAAAACCAAAATGCTTCCAACTCTTCCAACCTCAATTGCGCTCTTCGGTTACGATTCGACGTCACCACCATCTTACTGTCCACTAATGCCACAACAAAGCCAAATGTTTGTAGGCGGTGTTCTTACCTAGTATTCGTCATTCCAAATGCCACAAAAGTTCCAATCTCAACCACCATGACCAACACCCCCAACCGAAACACAACCTCAATTCCAATTCCAATTCCAATTGCCTTTCACCTCCTCACCGGAACATGTTTACGATTTTGGACCCGCACAACAAGTTCAACCAAAAAAAGGGAAGGCTGATCACAGGATTTTAGGAACGATAGATTCTAAAATGAAAACACCACCCGAAGATTTGATTGATTTAAATGAACACAAGAAGGTAAATAAGATTTATTTTGCATTAATGGATAGGAAGAACAATTCATTACAATGAGATTGTGCATAACTATTTTGTTTGAAAAACTATCCATTCTACTAACTAATACCCATGTGTATAGGCGTCAGAGGAGCACTAGAGAGGATTCCTAATTCGACAATTCAGAACTGCAAACCTAAGATTAAGTACATTCCGAAATCAAAATAACAATACATTTTAGAATTAAGAAAAGACACTAAACATTTCAACCAAAATGCAAACAACACATACAACTAGTCACAATATTATTTCCAAATCGTAACAATCTCCCCCTTCATGTCAAGTTGTTTTTGTGGTCTTTTCTGGCTCTTTCTCTATAACTTGAAAAGCCTTCGGAATAGTCTTAAATAATATCATCCGAATAACTATCCACCATTAAAGCATATCGAAAACATACTTCAAATCTACTTCATTGTTTGACTTGTTCTCCTCCACTCTTGCAAGGATTTAATTCAAACTTGCAATAGAGTACAAATGCTTATATCTTAACAACAACATGTAGTGCTTCACAGATTAATTTTCTTTCATCTTGTAAGCCACTCCCCAAAGATCTTTTTCAATAAAACCACTCTTGAATTTATCCACATTCACAACAGGTGGAAATGGCTTCAAGATAGGATTTATTTTAAGAACAACTGCAATTTGAACATCCATCTTTACAACTTCAAGAATGTATGCTCATATCATTCTTCTCAAAACCTGATAGATTGGCCCATACTTCATAGTATCCTTTGAAACGATTTTGAACAATGAAATACAATCATAAGGATTCTTAAATGGAGTATCAGCCAAAGAGAATTCATGAACCTCATGATTATGACTCCTGAAAACCTTAAAAGTGACATTTGTGAAACCATCTGCAACCATAGGTTTCCCTACTTTCAATCCAACGATCATCTTCAAACTCCAAGATTCATATTTTGGCTTTGAGTTCTTCACATGAAAATTTGAATAAGTTCTTGTTAATAGCTACATTCGCCAAAGGAACCTTCATAATGGTTTCAAAGCATTGGAATATGAAAGATTTTGTAGTAATTGGAAAATCCAGCTGATAATCCATTTCATTCCTCATAGAGAAAGAAGTCTGAGGCTCTAACAAAATAGTGTTGGATTATCAATTGCTTATTTTTGAATCCAATCAACAGTCCATTCTGGAAACAAAGCCTTCTTCGTAGCAAGAATTTCCCCAACATTCTTCTCTTCAGCTTCTTTTGCTTCAGTTTTTGCTTTTAAAGCATTCAAGGCATCAAGCTCCTTGTCACGTTTTTCTTGTTTCTTCAATTCTTTTTCTGATAAGTTGGGATTAATATCATCATCTTCTTTTGAAAAGATATTAACCTTTCCTTTCCCTGATCCATAAGATACATTACCCTTCCGACCAGTTTTCACTTCTCTGATATTTTTTAACTTATCTTTTAAAGATTTTTTTTTCAAGAACAACTTTTGTAGCATCTGACTTAACCATTTTTCCGTGTTTGATAAGGATTTCTCAAATTAGCTTCTGGAACTTCCTCTTCATTAACCGAAATTTCACATTCATTTGTTTCTTTATTATCCCCCCTTGTTGCACAGTAACCCAGCTACACATAACATTCAAAACTTCATTTAGTTTCTCAATAATAGGTTTCATATTTGCATCAATAAGTTGTGAAGTTTAATCAGCATATGGAGCATCCTTGTTTTCAATAATTCGAATGAAACGTTGATTAATTTCAAAATGTTGACCCTTAACCAAAAGTAATTCTTCACTCATCTTGTGAAGCTCACTTATTGAACTCTTTAATTGTTCCTTGAGCACTTTTACATTTTGAGTAGATTCAGCAAGAGCATCCATAATTTTCTTTTCATGTGCAAGATCATTTTGCATTCTCAAAATTAAGCTTGCAATAGACGTGTGATGATCTGCAATATCTCTTTGAAGACCAAAATGAAGACTTGAAAATGCTTCTTTTTCCTTTTGAAGAGATTGACTAAAGCCTTCAATCACCTTATTATCAGAAGTAACATTCTTATTAGAAGAAGTTTGAAACACAGTCATAAACTTTGTCATATTGGAAGAGATTTCCTTAACATCAGAAGCAACATTTTCAACTTTACCATTAGATTCTGCAATCTTCTTAGCTGCTTCTTCAACTAATTTCTTGTGATCTTCAAAAATATTAGCATTAGATTTATTTAACATCTTTATGGCTTCTTGATGAGATTTCACCATAATTTGCCAGTTTGTTGTTGAAAAAGAATTGGTATGCATAAGAATCTAATCCCTATTTTTGTTTAACTCATGAAATTCACCTTGAGTTACTGAAGCAGATAAACTGACATCATCATCACTTTCAATTCTAAAATTAAAATCAGTAATAGAGAAATCATCAAGTGATTCAGGTTCATCACCAACAAAAAAATCTTCATTAGAACCTGGAGACAAAGGAGGAATAGAAGTCGATGTAGCTTCTGAAATAGTTATACCAATGTTGATATTTGATTCCATATTAGATGTGTTCTCAGGGATGCTTGAAGTTCTAATCTCCTCCATATTGGATTCGAATGTAGACACTTTTAATGGAGTATATATGGTTAGAGTACCTTGTGACACAAAAGGATTCGTTGTGGAGTCAGTGAAGATCGGAATCTGAAATGGTAAAGTGGGTCGTGGTTCAGAAATGAATTTTGGAAGAGGTGGTATAGTGATTGCAATCGGAACAGATGTTGATGTCAGAGGAGGTGGTGGTCAGGTTTGTGAAAGATTTATGATAGGACCATTCAATATATTTTCATAAACATCTGACTCAGGTAGAGTTTGAACATAAAATTATGGTGGAGTAGCGAATTTTGGAGTCGAAATTGATGCAATTGGTTCAGAAATATTTGAAGGGACTTCGGAAGTATGTGAAGTATCCTCTTCTTTTAAGAAAGGTTATTCTCCCATAACGTTACTGTGAGTTCGATCATCTGAATCTTCATCAACCACAGCTGGTTTAGACTTTGGCTTTCTTTGTTTCTTTCGTTTTGAGACACCAGCAGATGCTTTCATTTTTCTTTTTCCTCCTTTTTTTGGAATATCAACAGTTGCAAGAGCTACTTGTAAAGAGGCATGAATTTCAAGAACACCAGAATTCGGAATTTCCCTATGGGCTTTGATAATAACATGGTCAAGAGGAACCCTAGCCAACATCACTTCGGGAATTGAACCAAAAACAGAAAAATTATTTGGATTAGAAGTAACAAAAGTAGTGGTTTTCATCTTTGGGATTTCAGCAATCACAACATCCTTCATCTCTGGTACTTGTTAATGATTTAGGGCACGAAGAACAACGATTGACCAAAATCGAGCACAAGAAATATTTAAATCCTTAGTGTTAGAACTCACACTTTGAGCAAATTGAGACGAAATGACTGTTCCATAATCAATATTCTCTCCAGAAAATAACCCATCCATCATAGTATAGAAAACTTTGCTAGCACTGTCAGAAACAGTTACTCTCTCCGATAAACACTTGAACAAAATTGTGAATAATGCATTCCAGATCAGTAGCAATACAAATTTCTTAAACTTCGATAAAAGAGAAAGATCGGAATTATACCCCATTTTAACTGCTTTTAAACGTTGTTTGAATGTCGCTATAATGACGTCATAAATCTCTAAAATACCTACCAAGATTTGAATATACATACCATGAATCATGCCATTTCAATTTGTAGCATTTTCACAATCTCTGATCTACCATTTTGCTTTACATACGCCAAAATAGAGTACATTAGAATTACGACCAGGATTAATTTCGCAACCAATATATGAATTAAGAACCAAAACCAGATTTTGAAAAATCACAAGGATTTTAGTGCAAGAGTGTGCCAAAGAAAAAGAAATAAATCAAATAAAAATTGAGGGATATGTGGAATCAAAAATATTTGATATGAAAGCCGATAGATCTCGGCACAAATACTCTTCCTTCATAGTCAAGAGAGACTACAAAGTGTTTGCGTGGTTTCTCGTTGAATTACGATCATAAACTTGTTAAGAAGTTATGAAAGGTTTCTTTTCATAAGGCAAAATGACATGCTCGTTTCCAATCAAAGATGCAACTCAAAATAAGTACAAGGAAATGAAAGGAAAATCTTGATTGACCAGTGTAACCAAATTGAAGTAAGCAAAATGCTTTGGTTAGGACATAGTAACACCGAGAATAAGAAAAAAAATGGTCTGACGGAAATATCATAATTAAAAAATAAAAGTTGGATCTCTTGGGAAGAAATGATTTGGATTCAATCAAATTCATTAAGATCACACAAAAGAAAATTATGAGATTTTGAACATAGATTGGATACGTCAATTCATAAGTGAAATTATAGAATTCGTAAACAAATTCACCATCAATTCCTTTTAGTGAAATGATTTTTGGGTCTCACTCTCCATCATGGTGATAATGACGAAAAGATCATAAACACATATTTGTTGCACACCTACATCCTAGTTGTTTTTTACTAGATATGTCTCGGGATATGCGTTATGGTGTGTGCCAAGTGTAAGAAATATAGATTGGACAAGAAAACGAGTTTTTCACACTCTCATAGTGATAATTAGAATGATCATAAAAAGAATTTTTAAAAAACCATAACTTCAATTAGGTATAAACTAGAAAGATCAACGGTTAAATAAAAAATATTGTTGAATAAACCGTTAATTCCTTAAGATTTAGAAAAGGAACCCTATGTTTAGGTTTGTATATACCCAAGACATCATCGGTTTCCAAGACTGTTTACAGAAACATAATATCTCTGCTATTAGAATAACATGTGTAACAAGAAGATACCTAAGGATAATAACCGAAAATATAGAAAAACAAAAATAAAGAAAATCTTTTTGGATTTTTGAAATTTAAAGACAAAATTAAATAAAATATTTTTGGATTTTTTAGATTTTTGAAATTTAAAGATAAAAATAAAGAAAATCCTTTTGGATTTTTGAGTTTTTTGCAATTTAAACAAAAAAATAAAGAAAATCGTTTTGCATTTTTGAGATTTTTGAAATTTAAAGACGAAAATAGAGAAAAGATTAATTACCTAGTGCATCGGCCTATGAGCAATCGTACTCTCTAGCAACTAAGAAGTAATTCCAAAATGATGTATTTAGATAAATTCAGCTTCCGAACATTAAATTCCAATTGCTTCCAAAGAGTGAATGATTTCGGAAATGAACAATGAATTCCGATAGCTTCCGAAGTTCAGAACATTTCAGAGGTGAACAGTAAATTCCAATGACTTTCGAATTTCAAAACAATTTAGATATCAACAGTAATGATTTCGGAATTACAAAGATGATTTCAGAATAGATTCATCTTCAATCATTCCTAGCCCATAAAGAATTTGGTTAAATGTGACTTCTGGTAAAGCTTTTATGAAGATATCTGCCAATTCATCTGTTGATCTAACAAAATAAACTTCGCCATTTCTATCTTCAACATGATCCTTTATGAAATGATATCTTAGAGCAATATGTTTTGCCTTTGAATGTTGAACAGGATTGTGATAAATTCGAATTGCACTTTCTAAGTCACAATAAAGTGGAATCTTCTTCATTTTAATTTCATAATCTCTCAGTTGTCTTTGAACCCAAATTATTTGTGAAGTACATGAAGTAGTTGCAATATATTCAACTTTTGCAGTTGATAAGGAAACACAAGTATGCTTCTTTTATTGCCAACTTATAATTTTACCATCCAAGAATTGACATCTGCTTGTAGTACTTTTGCAAATCAAGCCCACAATGTCCGAGATCAGCTTCTGAAAATGCTTGTATAAAAAATCCATAGTTAGTTTAATACCATAAACCAAGTCATGAAGTTCACTTTAGATATGTAAAGATATTTTCACTGCTATCATGTATGGCTCTCGAGGATTAGCTTGATAACGAGCACAATAGCATATTGAAAACATAATATTTGGTCTGCTCGAAGTAAGATATAAAAGCGATCCAATCATATGATGATACAATGTAAGATCTGCAACAGGATTCTTAAGAGATGGAGTCAATTTAGTTCTGAATGCCATTGGAACTTTTATCTTTGAATCCGCTGTCATTCCAAATTTTGTGAGTAATGATTTGGTGTAAGCCTCTTGATTAATGCATATACCTTCCTTACTCTATTTTTATATTTAAACCAATAAAGAAATTAATTGGACCCATCAAATTCATTTCAAATTTAGTTTCCATCAATTTTCGAAATTAATTAGTTAACTTAGGATTAGTGGATTCAAAAGGATATCATCAATGTAAATCTCAACAATCATAAGATGTTCTCCTTCCTTTTTTCGAAAGAAAGTAGGTTCAACTGAACCATATTTAAACTTGGATTGTTTAAGAAATCGAGTCAGAGTTTCATACCAGGCACGGGGAGCTTGTTTCAAACCATAAATAATTTTATCAAGAAAATAACAATAATCTGTATATTTTT